AGGTAGGTGGGAGGAGAAGGAGAGGGAACTGTGGTTGGTATGTAAAATAAATTAAAAAATAATAAAATTTCAAATAAGATTTTGCTCATGCAGACAGAAAAGGTTACAAATATACAGTAAAGCATGCTCATATGGGAAAGCAGCTCATATGGGAAAGCACCTCCAAACAGGCTACACTGTGTTTAACAATGTATGTAGACTTAAAAAAAAGAAAAAGGGTATAGAACAGTCATAAAAATTAAATAAATAAGTAAATAGTTTTTAAAATAATAGAATAAAGCTCAAGCCTTTAATCCCAGCACTCAGGAGGCAGAGGCAGGCGATCTCTGTGAGTTCAGGACCAGCCTTGTCTACAGGATGAGTTCCAGGACAGCCTGCAAAGCCACAGAGAAACCCTGTCTTGAAAAACCAAAAAAACGGGAGGCAGAGGCAGGCGGATCTCTGTGAGTTCGAGGCCAGCCTGGTCTACAGAGTGAGTTCCAGGACAGCCTCCAAAACAATACAGAGAAACCCTGTCTCAAAAAAAAAATAAAAAATAAATAAATAAAAAAAATAAAAAAATAAAAAAAGAAAAACCAAAAAAAAAATAGAATAAGTGATTTAAAGAAAGTGTAAAGTAATTAAAAATAATGAGCCATGTAGAGATGAGAAATACACAGGGAGTCTGGATCCTGTATATTACTCTGCTGTCTTTGAATTTTTTGATTACTGATAAGCAAACGACAACTGCTAGATAAGACATAGCATTGTGAAAGGGACTGTGGAAATAAACCCACCTAGAAACTTAAGAATGCCTCAACTTTAAAATGAAACTCAAAAAATATTTTGCTTTTGGGAAGAGGTTATGCTTTTGTTTCCACAAAGGCTGTGGCTTTGTTCAAGGTTACTAGAGATCAGATTTGACAGGGAAAGACCCTCTGAAAATCCTGGTTACAGACATAAAGAAATAAACCCAAAGTAACTACAATAAAGGTGACATGTATTTTACCTGCTCAAACATAAAACAAAAAGTCATCTTTGGCTGGCTTGTGTACAATGGCACAGTCCATACTTGTATTAATACAGATATGTATCTTACCTTTGGAAGTTTATGTGTTTTCAGAGCAAGGGAAACAAACACCAATGAAAATGGGCTCAGATGATCCAGCCTCTCAAGAGTGTCTCTGTTGAATTTTCCTCAGATTTTGGTTGATTTAAGTTATAAGAGCAAGTTAGAAACAAGCCTAAGCTATCACACAAGCTTTCATAACTAAAAATCTCCATGTGGTTAAAAAACATAGAATAAAAGATATGGGTTGATTTAAGTTATAAGAGCAAGTTAGAAACAAGCCTAAGCTATCACACAAACTTTCATAAATAATAAGTCTCTGTGTGGTTATTTGGGAACTGGCATGTGGGACAGAAAAATCTACCTCAAGCCAATCTCAAGAAGACACATAACAAAATATACTTTTACTTCTTTTCATTATGTGCCTTAATAATGTTAAATAGTCTGGAAAATAAAGGTAGCTATCTTCAGCTCCTCAAGAAATTAAACAGAATTACCAGATAATTCAGCAATTCCACTTCTATATATGTACCCCAAAATATTAAATAGTGTCCCCAAAAGTATATTTTCATACCCATGTTCACTGAAACATCATTTACAATAGCAAAAAAAATGAAAGGCACCCAAACATCCATCAGTGGTTGAATAGATAAAACGTGTGTGTGTGTATGTGTGTGTGTGTGTGTGTGTGTGTGTGTTGTCTACACCCATATATACAGTGTGTCTGTGAAGTATTTAAGTAATGTGCACTCATATATATTATCCAGTCGTGAACAGAAAGGAAATTCAAAAACATTATATTGCATACATAAATCTCAGGGACACTGAGCTAAATGAAATCTCATAAAAGGACAAACTTATGAGTCCACGTATTTGAGAAACTTGACAAATTCACAAAGACTGAGGGAAGTATGGGAGTTGCCAGGGGCTAGGGGAAAGTGAGAATGGTCTTTTAGTGGTTATAGTTGCACCTTTACATGATGAAATGAATTCTGGATTCATCATGGAGTACAGAGAGGCTCATAAGGTCCCATTCCTCATTGAGGATTTAAAGGCAGTTGACAGTTGCTAGAAGTGAGGAGCTCATGACAGTTGCTAGAAGTGAGGAGCTCATAAGGCCTCACCCCTGCCTGAGGATTTATCGACAGTTAATGGTTGCTGGGGGAGGAAAGGACATTTTATTTCAGTGATGTGGACACTGGGAAGGTATCCATGCTCTTGTAAGTAAAACTAAACACATTGGTTCACAAATAAAAACAAAAGCATGGAAGTAGAGATAAACTGGAAGGAAGAAAGGGTTCAATAGGAGTAAGAGGGGAACAAGAGAGGGTAATAAGGGGTGACTATAATAAAAATATATAGGTATATTGAAATAGACACTAATTGTTTATAATTAATATATGCTAATAAAAATAATAATTTTTAACATTCTAGATATTGGTTGTAAACAATGTGAATAGATTCAACACGATTGGAGTTCTATATATTCTGTATAATAATTACCACAAATATAATTTAAAATAAAATGTCTGGGTTCACCTAACCTAATTTATAATCTCATTGCATGGTTTTTGTCTCTTGGCATCAATTCATGAAAATGTTCTAGTTAGTTCTATTCTTGTTTTAAACTGGACTAATCAAGAACGTACACCCTACTGTTATCAAAAAGCAAACCTCAAGGATCATTAATGGTGCTATGATCATTAAGTAAAAAGTTATGTCTACATCAAAAGAATACATAACACCATGTACTTTGCTTCTGTATATCTTGTGCTATGATCATACAAGTGGTGTGGCCATAAAAGTAGTTACAGTCGATTATTAGGTATTGGGATATGCACATGTTGTCAGAATTTCACCTCATAAATTACCTGCTAATTGCAAAAGGGATAAAAATTTACCTTTTACAACAGCAAGACCTGCTTGATATCATACGACTAAGTAGGTAATCTCTGCAACTGCTTAATGTGGTGTAACAAAACACATACCTCTTGCCTTAGTGCCAAAGGGTTAAAATGGATGTAATAAAGCCACTCGTCTCAAGTTTCAGGCAATAGAGGAACAAGCCAAAGACTACAAGGAAACACACTATATGATAACTATCCTAGTCTCATAAATAGGCTAATTTTTAATATGATCTAGGTTTTAAGTATTAGGTACTTTTTACTTATTTTATGTATATGCACATTTTGCATGCATATATGTTTATGCACTGTGTGTGCCTGGGTTCCTGCAAAATTCAGAAGAGGGCTTTGATTCCCCTGGAACTAGAGTCATGGATGGTTTCGAGTTGCCATGTAGGAGCTGGCATCCCAACTGTGTCCTCTGCAAAAACAGCAAGTGTTCTTAACCACTGATCCATCTCTTCACCCCCTTAAGTATTGTTTAGTTTCTTACAATTGACAATAGTATTGTTAGCACAGAGAATGTTCTTGTTCTTTTTCTAAATTATACTTTACTTTTTTAAATTATGTGTATGTCTGTGAGAGGGTATGTGCACATAAGTGCAGAAAACTTCATTACATGAAGCCCAAACTCAGGTCTCTGCAAAAGTAGTCTGTGCACTTAACTGATGAGTCATCTCTAGCTTCTTCTTATGAGACAGCTCATAAAGTGTATAGGGAACTTTCATAATGTCTATAACATACTATCATATTGTTTAGGAACATAAAGTGTGTGTTTATATACTCAAAGAGACATATCAAATACTTATGCCAAAACTTAATCAGTTGTCTAATCCAGATCATGGGTATTAATAGTTCAATTCTTTCAGCTCTATTTTATTTGAATTTTTAATGTAAGAATTAGCTGTAGAAACTTATAAAGGAAAGAAAATAACAAAGCTCTCATTTTTATGTAAAGTCTATTAATGAACTTGGCATCCTATTCCATACTCTTTTGCATACTCTAATAACAGACTTGTTTGCTTAGAATAATTCAGTGATCACAACAGAATAAAAAGTTATTCAAAGCCGGGCGTTGGTGGCGCACGCCTTTAATCCCAGCACTCGGGAGGCAGAGGCAGGCGGATCTCTGTGAGTTCGAGACCAGCCTGGACTACCAAGCGAGTTCCAGGACAGCCTCCAAAGCCACAGAGAAACCCTGTCTCGAAAAACCAAAAAAATAAAAATAAAAATAAAAATAAAGTTATTCAACAGCCTAGTGTAGTGGTGCACGCCTTTAGTCCTAGCACTCAGGAGGCAGAGGCAGGGGGAGCTTTGTGAGTTTGAGGCCACCCTGGACTACCTAGTAAGTTCTAGACCAGCCAGGACTACATAGTAAGATCCTGTCTCAAAAGGAAAAGGTATTGCAACAAAAGTTACGTATAGTGGAACAGACCTGACTTCTTAGCACTCAGGAGACACAAGCAGGAGGATCACAAGTTCAAGACCAGTCTGGGCTACTTACTAAACCCTGTCTCAAAACAAAACAAAAATAAAAAAGTTATTGCGACAATGATAGCAAAAGCAAAGTATAAGTAAAGACAAGAAGATAATGACAAAATGTTTGATATGATTATCTTTAAGTGGTAGAGAACTACTGGAATTTTTCCTCATATTTTTGTAAATTTTGTCAATATTATATGGTACATCTTATGCTTTATAAATATAAGGTTAGAAACACTGTTATAACCTTTGTTGAACATAAGTACTACAGAGACCCATTATAGACAAACATTGCTATGTTTAATCCAAAACTGACAAAACTATACTAAAACAATAAATTCACTGTGAACTTTAGGAAAGTAAGATGGCTATCTCAAATACTACTTTTTTCTCATATATACAACCCTAAACCTCATGTATGAAAATAGGAACCCTGGGTAAGTTTTGATCCTTCCATGAGTGGTAAGGAGTTTTTTCTACCTTGCTTGGGGTTAGTCACAATCTCATGGCTTAATATGAAAATTCCAATGAAGAGTATAATACAATATCAGTAAAAGAGTACTCACTCTCCACAGACCCCTGGTACCTTCTTGCTGGTATATATCAATGAAGCTGCCAATCATGCTCCCTTGGAACAAACTTCCTTGAGCCTGCATTCGAATCTAAAAAAAAAGTGAACGTTTTATCTTGGCAGAGAAAACCAAAATGAAACAAACAGTTCACTCGTTTAAAATTAAGAAATTATTTTTAAAACTCTGCTATTATGATGAAAGTAATGAACTAAATTGTATAGAAAAATACAATTTGGGCCAAAGTATATTCTGTAAAGATTTTCATTAGGCCTCATATTTCCCATAGTAGATCTATCTTTTCTGGAGTTGGACAATAGCAAGTATTTAGTAAAATATAACTGGCTTGAACCAGGAGTGGTGGCACAGTACTTTAATCCCAATACTCAGGCAGCAGAGACAGGTGGATCTCTGTTAGTTCAAGGTCCACCAAGACTACACAATGAGTTCCAGGACAGTCATGGATACATAGTAAGACCCTGTTTGAAAAAAAACATGTAATTACTTTAGTAAAAAGTTATAGACTACTCAAATGCCAAAAGCCAACATCAAAAACCTACTGGTTACAAAAATGATGACATATCCATTTAACAGAAAACAGCAGAGACATAACATTTTCCCCTAAAGTAGACTTCAGAAAGTATTAAAAATTAATTGCTAACAGAAAAGTGCTGCAAAGCAGTATATATAATTCTTACCAAAAACATGCAAAGTTTAAAAAAATACTACAAGCACAGTAAGAAGTCTAGAGAAGCATACATATGCAAATATTAGCAGAGGTTTATATATGAATGCAGAGTCTATAAATGAGGATTGTTCTCTTTTGAGTCCAATCCCCAGAACTCATGATCAGAAGAGAGCTGATTTCAAAAGGTTTGCTCTGACCTCCACATGTACATACATGTACCCCCCCTACAAAATAGTAATGATGATGATAAATTTAATTTGGAGTCTAAGAGACAGCTCAGTGATTCAGTGCCCTGGCTGTTATCCCAGAGGACCTGGGTTTGGTTCTCACCAGCAACATGGCAGCTCACAACTCTTCTTAACTACAGTGTCAGGTGATCCAACCCTCTTCAGGCTCTATGGGCACTAGGCACACGTGGTACATGTGCATACAATCAGGCAAAGCACACATACATAAAAAGCAAATATTCTTTTCTTTCTTCCTTCTTTTTTTTGAGACAGGATAACCATGGCTGTCCTAGAACTCTTTCTATAGACCAAGCTAGCTTTTAACTAGGTGATCCACCTGCCTCCACTTCCTGAGTACTGGGATTATGGTGTGTGCTACCACCATCTGGCAATTTCATTTTTAAAAAGAATGATCATTTATATCAAACAAATAATGATCAAAATAATCTGCAGTTTTATATTTGTGGATTCAACCAATCTCAATTGAAAAATACTTGGTAAAAACTGCATTTGTACTGAACATATGCAGAATTTTTCCTTGTCATTATTTCTGGATTAATAATAAAATAAACATATTTATTTATGTTTATATTATAGTAAAATCATAACTAATCTAAAGTGTATTTAAAATATCTAAGGGAATACACACAGGTCATGCACAAATACTGTTTCATTCTATGTAAAGGACTTAAGCATGCAAAGATTTTGTTATTCACTGGGGCAAAGTCCTGGAAGAAACCCCTATAGATGGGGCAGAATTTTCTCTTATGCATCATAAACTCTGCTGCAATTGCTGTTAGATGATTCTTCTACCACTTGGTTTGCATTACCCTGAATCCTGACTTGTAGTTTCTGTTATTGTAAGCAACGAACTTGAATTTATTCTCGTAACTCAGGCTTGGAGACATGGCTCGGCAATTAACAGTGCTTGCTGCTCTTCTAGAGGATGTAGGTCTGATTCCAACACACACATGGTAGCTCACAACTGTCTATAACTCTAGTTCTAGGACTTAGATGTCCTGTCCTGGCTTCCAAGAATACTACATGCAGGTGGTACACAGACAGATGTGCAGGCAAAACACCCACACACATAAAATACTATTTTTAAACTTTTTATTCATGGTTGTAAATACCTGTATTCCCAGTAAGGCCGGAGAACCAGGAATTCAAGGTCATTCTTTGCTACTTAATGAGTTCAAAGTTAGAATGGGCTAGATAAGATTCTGTCTCAGAAAAACTAACAAAAATCCTAATTTGTGGTTCCCTCGAATAATTTAATCATACATTTAAAGATTTATTAATTAAGAAGGAAAATTTTACCATTTGTCAGATAAAGCTGAAGACTGGCATTAAAATAAGTGTTTCATTCTGTGATTGGTAAAACTTTAAAGCAGTCCAATCACATTCTTATCAATCAGTACAAGCCAAGATATATCACACTGAAAGCTAAAGCTCATCCTTAATAAAAATGTGGACAAGATAAGACAGAAACAGTATAAATTTAACAAACTCTTTTTTTGTTTTTTAATCTATTTATTTTTATTTTATTTATATTGGTGTTTTGCGGTGGGTGTCTAGTCAATTGGAACTGGAGTTACAGACAGTTGTGAGCTGCCATGTGGGTGCTGAGAATTGAACTTGGGTACTCTGGGAAGAGCAGTCAGTACTCTTAACCACTGAGCCATTTCTCTAGATAAAGCAGTTATGAAAAGAAACTTCTCCAAAAACCTCTACCTCAATCTATCCCTTTGATGTTCCAGTTTATGCTACAGGTCAACATACTATCTGAAGATTTGGAAAAGATAAGGGATAGGTTTTGGTTTTATAAAATGCAAAAGGGGCTATTAGAAATACATATTCATTCTCATACCACTTGGAGAATACAAACAGTAAGGAATCTGGAAATCAATTCCCTAGAACTCCACAGCTTTGAAAATAACCCATAGGGGATTGCGAAGCTCAGGCTGAAAACTAAATTAACACCTATCACATTAAACTATTTTTGAACATCTACTATGAAGCATAATGTCATACAAGTTTACATATATTATCTCTAATTCTTAACATTTTTATACTATAAGCACCACATTATCTTCATTTCAAAACAAGAATGAATGAGACCTTGCAGAGTTCAGAGATTTGTCCAGGAATTTAACTCAAATATGAGTTAAAGCTGTGGTCTTTCAACTCCCATGGCAGACATCTCTCTTACCTTTAGAACATCAGTGGGGTTGGCTATAGTAGATGAAATCACTCCTGACACTACTCCACAGATCATATTAATTAGGAGAGTTTCATCTGTAAAAATGCAAAATAAATAAATAAATAAAGGTTCATTTTATTCAGTACTCATTTCTCAGAGTACCTGAGATACTGTATGAAGGAAATCCTTTTTAGAGAGATGACTTAAAAATGAACTTCAAGGTTTATCCAAGTAAAGACTCTCAAATATTGGTAGAGCATCCCAAATTTATACAAAATATATACACATTATAAAATATAAACCATTATTTCCTTAAAAACATTATTTTCAAGACATCATATTCTTCTACATAATTATCAGTATAGTACACAACTTAGAATGTGGCATTTTCTTTTTGACCACTTCAAACATAATGCATTTGATTTTAAGTCTTTTAAGTTTTTTGAGACTAAAATTTATGGTTTGTTTTGTTTTGGATTTTGGTTTTTCAAGACAGAGTTTCTCTGTGTTACAACCATGGCTGTCCTGGAATTCAGTCTGTAGACCAGGCTGGCTTTGAACTCAGAAATCTGCATACCTCTGCACCCAAGTGCTGGAGATTAAAGGTATGCACCACCACTGACCGAGATTATAATTTTTTTTGTTTTTTTGTTTTGTTTTGTTTTACGAGACAGGGTTTCTCTGTATTTGGAGGCTGTTGGTCCAGCAGGCCTCGAACTCACAGAGATCCGTCTGCCTCTGCCTCCCGAGTGCTGGGATTAAAGGCGTGCGCCACCACTGCCCGGCCCGAGATTATTACAACATTTCTCCCTTCCTTTTCCTCCCTCCAAATTCTTCCATATACCCCTCCCTGTTCTTAAAATTTATGACCTCTTTTTTCCACTAATTGTTATTACATATTAATATGTATATATGTATATTCCTAAATATAATCTGTTCAGTCTCAATAATGTTATTTTTACGTGTGTTGTCAGGGCTGGTCATTTGCCAATGGATAACCAATTGGTATGCTCTTACCTGGGGAAGACCACCTCTCCTGCTCCCAGCTTTCTGTAGTTGCCTATATAGTTCTTTATGTAGGGTTGATGCCTTGTGGGCTTTCCCCTGTCCAGTTTGGCATACTGGTTGGTGTCATCCTTGATCAACTTTTAAGTCTTTTTATGGATAGTCGACTTTAAAGACTTAATAACCAGATGCTAAAAGATATAATCTTATGTGTAATAAAGTTATCTAAATATTAATAATGAATGGCCTTATATCTCTCCTAGCCTCCATTTTCGTACAGAAGGCTTCTATAGTCAAATAGGGAAAAGCAGCAGCATAATTCTTGGCATTGAATAATGAATAGAGAGATTTACACATGCAAGTCCAGCACTATGCTACTGAGTTACACCCTCTGGTCTAAAAGAAATAATTTAGAACTATATTCCCTCAGCTAGAAACAAGAAGAAAGGAATAACAAGACATATTGTTCTACAGAGAAAATTCAACCGCCACCATTCCTTCTTGTGAGGATCCTATAAAAAGGAAATTAGTAAACCCATGTGAATAATCTACAAAAGGAAAATATTTCCAGGAGAGATGAAAATGAATCCTCTAGTATTCCCATTGAAGGGGCTCCAGAAAATGCTGATCTAGAATAAGAAATTGCTTCAAGAGATACTGCTAACATGAAGTGTCTCCAGCTTTCCCAGCCATCTAGTATCCCAGGCCTATGATCAAATATCCATTGTGCAAGGATCAGGCTCAAATGAAAACACATACAACTCTGCATGTAGGTAAAGTGGCCATGGGTACATCAGCATCCAGACTACAACAGACTAAAACTTGCCTATCTACCAAAAGCTCATCAAAAGTAGCATCCAGAAAATGCCCTCAAGTCCTCTAACTGATGAAGAAAACATTCATTTTCAGGACATAGTTTTTTAAGAATTATTTTAGGTCCAAATGGATTAAAGACCTCAACAAAAAAATCCAGTCACACTGAACCTGTTAGAAGAGAAAGTGGGAGGTACCCTTGAATGAATTGGTACAGGAGACTGCTTCCTGAGCATAACACCAGTAGCACAGACACTGAGATCAACAATTAATAAATGGGACCTGCTGAAGCTGAGAAGCTTCTGCAAGGCAAAGGACACAGTCAGCAAGACAAAAAGGCAGCCCACAGAATGGGAAAAGATATTCACTAATCCCACATCTGACAGAGGGCTGATATCCAAAATCAACAAAGAACTCAAGAAGCAAGTCTCCAAAGCACCAAAGGATGCAATTAATGGGCTACAAAACTAAATAGAGTAGAGGAGTCTAAAATGGCTGAGAGGCACTTGAAAAAGTGCTCAACATCCCTAGCTAGCCGGGAAATGCAAATCAAAACAACTCTGAGATACCATCTTACTCCTGTCAGAATGGCTAAAATTAAAAACACCAATGACAGTTTCTGCTGGAGAGGATGTGGAGAGAGGGGAACACTCCTCTACTGCTGGTGTGAGTGGCAACTCGTACAGCCACTATGGAAATCAGTATGGAGATTCCTTAGGAAAATGGGAATAAACCTACCACAAGACCCAGCAATTCCACTTTTAGGCATATACCTAAAAGATGCACATTCTTACAAAGACATCTGTTCTACTATGTTCATAGCAGTATTATTTGTAATAACCAGAACCTGGAAGCAACTTAGATGCCCCTCAACTGAAGAGTGGATAGAGAAAATGTGGTACATTTACACAATGCGGTACTATTCCGCCAAAAACAACAATGGAATCTTGAAATTCACAAGCAAATGGATGGCACTAGAAGAAACCATCCTGAGTGAGGTAACCCAGTAACAAAAAGAGAAACATGGTATGTACTCACTCATATATGGATATTAGACATGAATCGTGGGAGTGCCAGTCTACAATCCCACTGCCAGAGAGGCAGGGAAACAGTGTGGACCCTAAAAGAGATATGCATGGCACCCCAGAGAAGGTGGAAGGAGGCAAGATCTCCTGAGCAGATTGGGAGCACAGGGTGGGGGAGGGGACAGGGAGCCAGGAAAAAGAGAGCAAGACAAGAGGAAGGGAGAGGAGGACATGGGGGAGCAGGAAAGTCGAGTTGGGGGAAGAATAGAGGAGAGCAGGATGAGAGATACCATAATAGAGGGAGCCATTCTAGGTTTGAGGGGAGATCCGGCACTAATAAGAACTCCAGAGATGTACAAGGATGACACCAACTGGCAAACTAAGCAGTAGTGGAGAGACTACTTTAAATGCCCCTCCCTGATAATGATTTTGACGACTATTTTACATACCGTCCTAGAGCCTCCATCTAGTGACAGACGGAAGCAGAGGCAGACACCCACAGCTAAACACTGCACTGAACTCCTGGAACCCAGTGATAGAGAGGGGAGGAGTGATGAACAAAGGGGTCAAGACTGGGCTGGTGAATTCCAGAGAAACAGCTGACCTGAACAAGGGGGAGGGAGTTCTTAGACTCCAGACTGATGGCTGAGAGGCCAGCATGGGACTGATCCAGATCTCCTGAATGTGGGTGTCAGTGAGGAGACTCAGAAAATCTATGGGGTTTTTAAGTAGTACATCAGTATTTATTCCTGGCACATAATTGGACTTTGGGGACCCATCCCACAATGAGGGATGCTTTCTCAATCTGGACACTTTGGGGAGGGCCTGGGCCCTCCCCAGAACGAGATGACAGACTCTAGAGATCCCCCATGGAGGGCCTTACCCTCCCTGGGGAATGGAGTGAGGATTGGGTGTGGGGCTGGGGGGGGGCTGGGGAGAGGGGTGGGCATGGAAGGGAGGGAGAGGGAGCTGGGACTGACATGGGAAGCAAGCTTGTTTCTAATTTAAATATATAATAAAAAGTGTTTAAAAAGAGTTATTTTAGGGGCTGGAGAGATGGCGCAATGGTTAAGAGCAATGACTGCTCTTCCAGAGGATCAGGTTCAATTCCCAGCACCATATGGCAGCTCACAGCTGTCTGTAACTCCAGGATCCAACACCCTCACATAGATATGCATACAGGCAAAACAGCAATAAAACAAAAATAAGCAATTTTTTTAAAAGACTTATTATTTTAAGCCAGGGGATGGTGGTACATACCTTTAATATCAGCACTCAGGAGGCAAAGGCAGGTTAATTTCTGAGTTCAAAGCCAGCCTGGTCTACAAAGCGAGTCCTAGGACAGCCCGAGCTATTTCACAGAGAAACCCTGTCTTGAAAAATCAAAAACCAAAACAGCAATAGAAAAGAATCATTATTTTGGGGAGGACATATACCATGGCATATGTATGGAGGTCAGAATTCAACTTTATGGAAGGTGTTCACTGCTTCCACTTTTGCATAGGTTCCAGGTATCCACACTTGCATCAATTTACCCATTAAGCAATCTTGGCAGTCGACAAGTTTTTAGTTGATAGTAAAAGATAAATTTGAAGAACAGGAACGTCTAACTCACGCATCCCCTCTGTAGGGATTTAGCCCAAGTCAATACAAGTTCCCTTTTTTCCTGCAGTAACTGTCTTTCATTCTCTGGCATCATGAGATAAACACTTCACACTAAGCATGATTTCAACAATTCCTTTGAGGATAACCTCAAAAGAGAGTTAAGCATACCAACCTTCCAAACGCTCTACAAATAATCGCTTCAAGCTTTGGTAAATACCAATTTTGATGGTGCCATATGATGCCTGTCTTAGTAAGGCAGGTGCAATTCTGTCCGAGAGAGAGAGAGAGAGAGAGAGAGAGAGAGAGAGAGAGAGAGAGAGAGAGAGAGAGAGAGAGAGAGAGAGAGAGAGAGAGAGAGAGAGAGAGAGAGAGAGAGAGAGAGAGAGAGAGAGAGAGAGAGAGAGAGAGAGAGAGAGAGAGAGAGAGAGAGAGAGAGGGAGAGAGAGAGAGAGAGAGAGAGAGAGAGAGGGAGGGAGAGAGAGAGAGAGAGAGAGAGAGAGAGAGAGAGAGAGAGAGAGAGAGAGAGAGAGGGAGGGAGAGAGAGAGAGAGAGAGAGAGAGAGAGAGAGAGAGAGAGGGAGGGAGAGAGAGAGAGAAAGAGAGAGAGAGAGAGAGAGAGAGAGGGAGGGAGAGAGAGAGAGAGAGAAAGAGAGAGGGAGGGAGGGAGAGAGAGAGAGAGAAAGAGAGAGAGAGAGAGAGAGAGAGAGGGAGGGAGGGAGGGAGGGAGGGAGGGAGGGAGGGAGAAAGAGAGAAGTTAATTTTATTTCACATGCATTTGTCGATTTTACAATTCTTTTATCTGTAACTTTCCAAGCAATATAGCATGCATTTTTTCACTTACCCATGAAAAACTGACAGAGAAAGCTCATATCCCAGGTCATAAAACTAACATCAACAAAGCTAAAAGAACTGAAATTATACAGAATATATTCTCTGGCCATACTGAAAGCAAAGTAGAAACTGATAAAGATGATGCTCAAACAGTTGGAAATCTAACAATACACATCAAAAACAACATATGTGTTAGAGACAGCTGCAAAAGAATTTTTGAATGTATAGATATAAACAAAACCTCAAATACATCCTATAAAATAGATGGGACAACAACAATTAAAGAAAAAGATACCTGGTGGTGGTGGCACACGCCTTTAATTCCATCACTTGGGAGGCAGAGGCAGGCGGATCTCTGTGAGTTCGAGACCATCCTGGGCTACAAAAGCTAGTTCCAGGACAGCCTCCAAAGCCACAGAGAAACCCTGTCTCAGAAAAAAAAAAACAAACAAAAAAGAAAGAAAAAGATGCCACAATGGGAGACAGAGAGCAAAGAGATACATGGGAATGGATGGGGAAAGAATGGGAAGGAGGAAATTATATAATTCCAAAAAGTTTAAATATTATAAAAATGCAAAAAATGCATGGGATACAGTCAGGTCTGTAACCACAGCTGCTGCTTGCAGGCTAAGGTAAGAGAATGAGGAATTCCAGGCCTGCTTGAACTAAGAGTACAAGGTAAACCTGAGCAGCTTAATATGACACTCTCTTATATAAAAAGTAAAAAAAGAGCACTAGGTCCTTCACAGATAGAGCACTCACATACCACATGTTAGGCCCTAGATTCAATCACCAAACAGGGGTGGGGTGTAGAATATGCAGCCAAAGCATAGGTGAGACTATATAATTTACAGTCAAATGCTTGCTGTAGAAGAGTAAACTCCCCAGAAGACAACTTATAGAACTATGAAAAATTAATTCCTGATATTTATAAGAAACCAAGTGCATGGCACTTTATTACAGTGGTTCAAACTAACAGGATTAAATATTTTTACAAAATTAACATGGGCTTTTTCTAATTCAGTTTGATTTGGTCTGATTTGGATTGCTCAGGGGAGAAGCTTATCAGGGTGTAGAAACTTTTCACATGGTTTTTAAATATTTCACATTGTGTTTACTTTTATTTTATGTATATGGGTATTTTGCCTCCAAGTATGTCTATGCATCATACACATGCAGTGCCCATAGATGCCAGAGGAGGGCATATAGAACTTCTGGCAGTAGTTAGTCGCCATGTGGGTGCTGGGAATTGAACCCAGGTCCTAAGGAACAGCAGCCAGTGCTCTTAACTACTGAGCCATCTTTCTACCCTCACTGAATTAATAGTTTAATTAAAATTCAAAAAATAGAAATTCCCATCCCAAACAAGTTTACTGAAGAACTCCGTAAAACCACTGAAGAATGAACATTAATCTCACAAAATCTCTCCAGAAAACAGAAGAGGGAATGTTTCCCAAATCATTTTGGCTAGTACTACCTTGATAGCAAAAACCTGACAAAAATAGAATAGTACAAACTAAATCCACAGACCTATATCACTCATGAAGTTAGATGCAAAAATCCTTTAGAAGCTGGGCATTGGTGAAGCACACCTTTAATCCCAGCATTCGGGAGACAGAGGCAGGTGGATATCTGTGAGTTCGAGGTCAGCCTGGTCTACAGAGCAAGTTCCAGGACATCCTCCAAAACAATACAGAGAAACCCTGTCTCGAAAAACAAAAACAAAAACAAATCCTTTAGAAAATATAAACAAATTGAATATAGCAACATACAAAAGTTAACCCACACCACACAGGTTAAAAAAAATCAACCTTTATTTCCTAACAATTCCAGATACATCTTTAACCCGATGAAAAAGGAAGCAACAGCGCCAAAATCTCAACCTACTTAAATTCTGCTCAGAAACTGAAGATGTTCTCACTCACGCCTCCTTTGAGATTCATCCAAATTGCAGAACTATACTTTATGAGATATAAATAGAAATAAAGCAACAGCTCAAATGGTTAGGATTGAAGAAGAAGAAAAAAACAGATGATTAAATATGCATATTTCTGACTCTTTTACTTGTATCAGGAAAAGAATATTGAGGATATCCATGCTTATGAAAGAAAAAAGTAAAAGAAATGATCCATGAATCATTTACTTCAGGATGAGGATCTGTTTGTTTGGGTTTTGGGAGATTTTTTTCACCAAGAAAACTATATTTTAAATAAGCCCAACCCAAGTTACTGGTAAAATTGGTTTCTATCCTCTCCGAAATACTGGTAGCCTAGATTTAGGATGTCGTATGAAATCAGCAGCAGGGGAACCACACACTGGACAATAAATCATAAACTGATAGGTACTCAAAAGGTGATAAAAAGATTCTCCCTTTCTCCTATTCTTCACTCCTATTTAATCTGTCAGAATAATATTTTGTTCACAAAGAAAATCTTAAAAGAAGCCGGTGTTAGCCAAATCAGGAAAATTCTCACAAGAATATATACAGCTGCTTTTCCAGCAGCCATCAATGAGTGTCAGGAAGTCAGAAAAAAAGCTTATCCTACAACGATATTATCCATTTTCACATTTATTACATACAGCCAGATTAACACAAAATCCAAAGCTCAAGACTTACAAGCAAATGAAATATACAAGAGTCCACCAATAATTAGAAGTGGAAATGGTGAATGAAAATGGTGTAAGCTATCGTGCAGTTATTCATGATATAAAGAAAGAAATCAGACTTACCCTGAATACAGAGCCAAAATCCCTTCTTCTTTATAGATTCGGAACAAGGCATGAAACATCCCTCTATATTTTATTTCTTTGAAACGGACATCAATGCTCTGGCCTTGTACTTGCAGTCGTGTTTTAGTAAGGTCCACAGGGAAAGTGCCTATGACAGAACACACTCCTAAGTATTTACAAAGAGCACAGTTAGGTTTGGGCTAAATATAAGGCAATGACAATATTGGAATCTAAGACAGGGTCCTTTTCATAACACTCCGGGATCTACTACACCACCACTGTCAGAGAGTAAAGGCTAGAAGTGACATGCACTAGCCTCTCTAAGAAGCACAACTTGCCACACAGTACACCTGACACTTCTGCCAGAAATGCAAAGAAGTGTAGATGTTTCTTTCACTTTGTAACATACCAATGCTAATGGCATTTATTAGTCTTTTCCTCCCATCTTCTCCCACCTCAAGTCTCCCTATCTCTCCCTCATAAACTCTCCCCACAACATCACAACCACAGGAAAGTATTGCATCTCTGCTTTAGATGCTCTTACATGTGGTTACAATAGTGTGGGGGGGGGTGGGGGTAGCTGTGTGTGTGTGCTTACAACTTTGTAATGTTATGAGAAAAATAGTCAAACTCTCACTTGGTTCTTCTCACCATGGTGTCTTGGATATTTCAGGAGTAATACCAGAAGAATACTTGAGCCATTAATTTTTTAGTTATGTTTTATTTGTGTGCATGCATACATATGTGTGTGGGTCCATTTGCCATGCTCATGTATGGAGGTAAGAGGGCAACCTACAGGACTTGCTTGTGTCCTTCGACCACATGGGTCCCAGGGATCAAATTCAGGCCCATCAAGCTTGACAGCACACATCTTTTCCTGCTGAGCCATCTTGTCATCTCTAGCAGGAACCTTCCCTCTTCCTTATCTCAGCACACACAAGTGGCTGTTGCATGAACAAAATGGGTTTTAACAAAGATTTAAAGATCTAAAACTAACAAGTTCTTTACATATGTAGTTCTGAGCTTTTGTTACCTGGATAGTATAAGAACAGAGTATATACCAAGAAAGTCATCAAACACTGATGGATTGTAGACACTAAGGAACCATTTATGGAAAAGAAAAATCTGGAAAATAAAAAGTCACAATCTAAAAATATTTCAAAATTTAAATCAAAATAGAGATGACTCCTGTTTGATCTGGTTTGCTTCTAAAATGGAAGAGGGATTAGCAAAAAAAAAGCCTTTATAAACAGAATATTATAACCTATTAGTGTACAGGAATACACAGAAACCACTATCATATATAGTCCTTTATGATTATGCATATTTGGCTTGGAAAAATTAACAAATCACTAAGCTATCAAAAACATTTCAAAATTTGACTTCTTATTCTCATTTCCCTTATCATTACTAGTACCTTCTCAGGAATATTACTTGGTAGTTATGCAACAATAATTTTTTTGTTTTTCAAGACAGGGTTTCTCTATATAACATCCCTGGTTGTCCTGGAACTCACTCTGTAGACCATGCTGCCCTTGAACTCATAGATCCTCCTGCCTCTGCCTCCCAGGTGCTTGGATTAAAGGCATGTACCACCACCACCTGGTGCAACAATACTTTTTAAAACAAAGATGATGACACTCTTTTTATTTGTTCTCTAGTCTTCTCCAAAAATAATTGGTGCCATACATAACCATCTGTGGCATAAAACTTTTTTTCAGATTCTTACCGAATTCGGCAACAATAGAGGCAAGGCCGCCATACACGAAAGGTTTCCAGTTCAGGCCAGACATCTCATGGCTTAAAGTGGAACTTTTCTGATGCTAAAAATAAACATGAGTCAGAACAAGGCACAAGAACGAAGAGAATATTGGTTAACACTTAATTATATGATTGGAATCAACAAAACTCGCAAGTCAAACAAATGTGGGAGAAAAAATAAAAACCACCAAGTGGAATGAGACAAAATGGAGAGTCCCGTTTCATGTGCCAGATGATCATGAGTTCATTCTTTAATGTCATTCTGTATGGTAGGTGTACAGTCAATCAAAAAATCAACATGTATTCTTCATTCTCTCTAATTTAATTTTCCCCTCTTCCCCACGCAAAGATTCTTTAGCCCATCCAGCACACCCATCTGTGACATTCATCTAGACAATCATGAGTCAAGGAAACTGGAATTCCAATTACATAGGCTGAGGCATCTTATAAAAGCAGTTCACGGTATTCAGTTAGCTTGATTCAGGCACAAAGCACAAGCTCCCAACACTACCCCCTAAAGTTCTCAGCTCTCCACTGAAATTCAGCATCTCACTTCTAGGAACTGAGCTAGTTATATACCAAAGCAGCTACACAGTGAGACCCACGCTGAGCTAAGTAGCAATTCACGTTGCTTCTGGCTCCTGGCAAAATGACAGCAATGTGGCTATATCACACTTTCTGACACTGAACATCATCCATCCAGTGATCTCTGAACTGTAATAACATGCCCAAGTACTACACTTTGTATGCTATAATTCTTTAATGATGTACTTTTGTCCTCAGCCCTTCTTACTTCTTTACATCTTTACATCAAATCCTTCTTAGATCTGTCCTAAAACTCTTCAGTTTTGCTGGGGCGGTGGTGACACACGGCTTTGCAGAGGCAAAGGCAGGCAGATCTCTTGTGAGTTTGAGGCCAGCCTATTTAACAGAGTGAGTTCCAGGACAGTCAGAGCTACACAGAGAAACTCTGTCTTGAAAAACAAACAAACAAAAAACTTCAGTTTATATTTTCTGCTGCTCTTCGATCCTTCACTCTAGGATTTGCTTTTCCACAACTAGGCAAATATTTGTCAGTTGTAGCATGTACCGGAATCACTTAAAAGGTTATTAAAACATGAACTGCCAAGGCTCTCCCCGACTGGTGGTTTAGTCATGCCCTGAGAATCTGCAAGGTCTCAAAGAATACTGATGCTTTAAGAACTACTGCTGTGGGCATCACCTGCTAAATCCTGGACCACTTGGAAACACTACTTTTTCTTAAAAGAATTTCAGATTGCCTTGAAATATTTCCTTCTTTTTCAGAGCTTCAAAGTATGTATACTTCCCGATTTCAAAAGGGTTTACAGTCAAATAGGAACACTCTGAAATAAGATCATCTAACATCAAATCATGGCTCCAGATTTGCATCTTATCACTTACTAGCTGTGACTCTGGGAAAGTTATTCCATCTTTCTCTGCCTCCGTTTTCTGAAAACAATAATAATAAAAACTTATGTCATAGGGTTGCTGTGCTGTATACAAGTAATACATATTTAACAACTAGACAAATCCCTGAAACTTTGTTGAATAAGTTAGCTAGTTATGACTACACTGCTGAATTTACATCTTAATAGATAGTATTTGCTGGCCAGAATTTACATCTTAATAGATAGTATTTGCTGGCCATCTTCCCCTAGCCAGTTTGGTTTAGCACTGTTGAGCCACAGTCTGCTCTTAGAGGAAACAGCATTTTGATTGATTTTTTACAAAAGTAATTCTCTGAAACAAAGCAAAGAGCAGTCTCCTAGAGAGGCTAGCAAGTATGCAGATAAATGTCTTATTACATACTACAAAAATAGTTGTGCAAGCTTCCATTCAAACATAGTATATATTGCATATGTGAAAGATAGCCCTCTTGGAGGGAAAGTTCATTAAAACTCTAAAGAGAAAAGTAGGAATTTTTAGGAGAAATATGACTATGTCATACTTCCTAAATTTACAAAAAAAATAAATTTTATTTCAGACATGGTGGCACATGTCTGTATTTCCAGTAGTTCAAAGTTACCCTCTCCTACATAGGGAGTTTGAGACCAGCCTGAGCTATATAAGACCCTGTCTCCAAAAGAACACACAAATTAAGAGGGGGAAAACACTCTCTGGTGTCAAATTTAGAGATTTCCCTAAATAGCCTTTGATATTTCAAATGTCTGTTGTGCTCTCCCCCAGACTTTCCCTTTACAACTTCATGCATCCTTTCTCAGTACAGAAAAAAAAATCTACCACAACTTTAGTACCTACTACTCCATGTTCTAAAAAGTACTTAGTGCTTTATCATTATTTGTGTGTGTATATGAGTGCTTGCTTATATGTATGTCTCTCCACCATATGTATGCCTGATGACCATGAAGGCCAGAAGAGGGTGTCTGATCCCCTGGAACTGGTTGCAGATGGTTATGAGCTGCCATGTGGGTGCTGGAACTTGAACCTGGGACCTGTGGCAGAGCAGCTACCGCTCTTAATAACTGAGCCATTCCTCCAGCCCTCTACCCAATCTTTTAATGAGGAAAATGTGCTCAGGGTTCAGGAGCAATAACAAGTCACTAAAAGTTGGGGACAAAGTCAAACTAGGAAACAGAATGATCAGTCACTGGATCTTAGATCAGAGGTTTTCCAAAGAAGTTTTCACAATTCAGGAGTGATAGGAAAACAAAACAAAACTTAGGCTGCTTTTTTTAATCAGCATAACATATGCCATTTAAATGACTATTAAATCATACTGCTTATCCATGGAGCACTGACAAATCACCTTTCTTATATAAAATGGTAATGGTAGTAGGGAATTGATAATACTTAGTGTCTTTGTTTGACTAATAAGCATAGTGATCTTTATCTGTATCTGCTCCACCATATTTTCATTTAAATTTCATTAGCCCATAAAATTATACAAGTCTGTAGAATGTAGAAGACTGACTAAAACCAACACTGTCCCTTTACCACCTCCCCAGTCACAGCTGATAGTAAAATCTCTCACTCCAATGTCAGAAATCAAAGTCCTGGAAGACATTCTGTATCTCTTTCAATGGTACCTTATATCACCCTTCTTTACCCTAGAACAATTTGGAGGTACATGGAACAAATTTATGGCCCCACAAAGGAGCCCTTCAAATATTTAAAGTAAGCTTTCATCTTCCTCTATTTTTCTCTTTATCGGGCTAAATAATCCTGATCATTTTCTTGACTTTGTACATTTTACTTCAGTTACTATAGCTGAAATCTGTTTCTTTTGAGTGGCATATCACACAATTGAAACATTAAAGTTTCAACAAATGTCAGAGTCTTTTACATAAAACTGTATACATGTATGCAGATTATGCCCCATCTATTTTTTCTACAGTATGTGATTTTTTTGAGAAATTCATTTATCAAACATCTTAAATTCAGGCATAAAATGATGACTAGGGTGAGGTTTATTCTCTAGTTGTCCTATCTCTTCTCTTAATTAGGTAAGATTCCCTAAAAAATGACACCATATTTCACCAAACTTTTTATAAACCTCATACAAACTAGTATAGAATGAGAACAAACATACCAAATAGTTGAGTGTCTTATGTATGCAACCTGTATATAAACAATTACAGAGGAAGTCACAAAAGTGATTTACTAGACATGGGCAATACTATTACACCTTATACAACATGCTCCTGATTCCCAGATGCTCTAGATTACAAACTCTTGCCTCTTGCTTTTGTTGCAGAGAATTGCTTCATAAAGTATCCCAACTCCTCATAAAGTTATTTTGACTTGTGGAGGCTAACCTCAGTTTGGGGTGAAAGGACAGAAGTCATATCGAAATAACAATATAAATACCTAACCCTAACCCTAACCCTAAATATTTTATTATATAAAGAAGCCAGTGAAACTTGTCTTCAAAATTTGCATATCTATTCTTAGAATATGACTGTGGAAATCTTGATAGCCTAACAAGTAACAATAAAAATATCCTAAATCCATATCATATAGCTCCTACACTTACTTCAAAATCTGGCCAGGAAATTCTGGGTGACCTTCTTGGTTTCTCCTTTAAGAAAGAGCAGGGACTACAGATTCTCATGTTTGGAAGATAGCAGTAGGGAGCCTAAAATTATGTGTTAAAGGCATAATAAATACTCAAACCTGCAATTTTGGGGCTGGACAGATGGCTCAGTGGTTAAGAGCACTGGCTGTTCTTCCAGATGTCATGAGTTCAATTCCCAGCACCCACATGATGGCTCACTATATGTATTACCAAAACACTATATATAATAAATAAATAAATCTTAAAAAGTGAGGCACTGAAGTAAAAAAAACCTGCAATGTCTATGAATATAATTGGTCATGCTTTTAAAAATCACGCCTGTTTTGGTAATACATGTCTTTGAATCCAGTACCTGAGAGGCAGACGCAGGGGGATCTCTGTGTGCCTGAGATCAGCCTGGTACATATAGTGAGACCCTGTCTCAAAAAAATAAAATCACAGACAGGCAGTGGTGGTGCACACCTTTAATCCTAGCACTAAGGAGACAGAGGCAGGCAGATCTCTGTTGAGTTCAAAGCCACCTTGGTCTACAAGAGCTAGTTCCAGGACTGCTAGGGCTACACTGAGAAACCCTGTCTTGAACAACCAAAAACAAAACAAAAAATAAATTAAATAGCAGAAATATATTTTAATATAGAGAGTATTTGCCATTCCACCTACCTTCCCTGAACAATCATCTAGTGTAAGAAATTAACTATTAGAAAAAAATGAAGTGTTAAACTTATAGCAATCTATAAGAACAAGGGGAGCATGGAAAAGAAAACAATAGGCATGCATTTGAATAATTTGGAAAAGCTGTTGGAAGTCAGAGAACTTAAATTGGGTCTCAACAACTAGCAGACTGAAGCTGGGCAGGAGCAGGAAAGGAAGGTACCTGAGCGGGGTTAACAGGATGCACGAAGACAAATGTGAAAACATACACAATCATGTAGGCATCACTATAGTTTGTACTGAGACAGCAAGGAAGCAGCGTACACAATATGCTTGTTGGCTGAACAAGTAAAAGGATGTTGGAGGAAGACTAGATTATTAATAGGGAAATGAATTAATACCCTATTTTAATTAGCTACTAGGGACTACAAGCACAGTGGATTGCACACAGAAGAGGTAGGGAAATGGATTAGGAGGGTGTGAAATAGGCAGGAAAGAATGCTCATTAGCAATGGGGTTAATCTGCTAAATGGAGACAAAAGACACTTTATAATATAAATGAAGAGGAAAGAGTTAATTCTACTCTATGTATCTCTAGGGGTTGGGCAAGGAAGCACTGATAGAAAATTATAATTGTCCCTGCTGTTACCTTGTCTGAGAAACAAAATTCATGTTGATAAACGCTGTGGTCCCAATCAAGTAACTGAACTGCATTTTAACAGATGCCTTCAATGCCTCAACCTCAGGAGTGACAGGGGGTTAGAAAGTGATAGGGAGCACCCCTCACACTGATACAATGGAGATGTTTGCTTACTCCGCTTACAATCACAGCCGCCGTCGCAAACTTCACCCTTAGAAAAATTAGGATTATTCCTGGAAAGATACCCATTCACCCTGTGGGCAGCAGGATCTTGTCAGTTCCTCAGCTGTCAAAGCGAGTGCGTAGAGAGAAGGGAGGCGCCTGAAGGAGGCGGCCTCCCAGGGGGGTCGAGGAAGCAGGGTTCAATCGAAGAAGTAAAGCCACCGATGCCAGAAGAGTGAAAGACAGGGAAGGGACTCGGCTGAGGGGAGAGAAAGATCAAACGACCATTAAGCCCCTCCCAGACCGGGAACCAGGCCAGCCTGGCCCCGCGTGGCCTGCCGCAGCCCAACCCCGCTCCCCAACGTGGAAGTCCAGGAGCTCCCCCTCACCTGCTCAAGCTCAACAGACGACTGAAAAGCGAAGGCTCCCACAGTAGGAAACACCACCGCAGCGCCAACCCGGAAGCATTGAAAGGAACGGAAGTAACCAAGGCGTCGCCTCGGCAACAGTGGCGCGGCCATCTTAACTCCGCCCCCTCCCTGCCTGAAAAGGAAGGCGCGAACGAAAGGAAACCTTTAGGGTCAAAAGGCCAGTGTCCGGAGGGCTGTGGTAAAGGTCGGGAGCCAGCCACCTGCCTTTCGGGAGAGGGAGCTAAGACCTGAGAATGTGGCAGCTTCTGCAACTAATATACTCACAAGAGAAGGCAGAGGCAATGCCTTGTCACCCATCCACCCACCCACCCACCTACCTACCTGGAGCTTTCCAGAGTCAGCCTCAAAAATGCGAGACGATGGGAAGGGCATCATGTAGAGGGAGGTTGGCAAAGGATTAAGATAAAAATGGGAGAATTTCTTTTGCTTACTTTTGGGGGACCCTTTTCTTTCGACTGCTTTGGCTCGCCGAGCCTTGATAGGAGGGTTTGTGCATGGTGTTATTGTAATGTTTGCCATGTTTGGTTGCTATCCCTGGGAGGCCTGCCCTTTTCTGAAGGGAAACAGAGGAGCAGTGGATCTGGAGGCGATGGAAACACTATAAACATACACCACACTAACACATTTGCAGTTTGGTTGCATTCTTTCAGTTTTAGCATTTTTTAATGCTATAATACACAAAATTGTAATCCTCCTTATCAAAGTTTGGCATTTTCCTTATAAAATGCCTTCTATTATCTAGCCTCTCCCATAAAAACCAAGTTTTGACCACACATATTCTGTCTTGGGTTATGTGTACATTCTGAGCTACCTAATTGTATAAGTTATTCAAGAAAACAGATCATGGAATCTAGTTCTAATGTACCTTGGAAATTTTTTATAGACACTTGTTTAGACCCTGCTAGAACATCTCTTGCTGCTCCTAAGAGCCACTCTCCCCCTCAATTTATTCTTCCTATCAGTTTTGAGTTCGTTCCAGACTATCACAAAGAAAGAAAAAAAGAAATTCTCTAAGATTGTATCAACTTCAAGATACTGGCCAAGCTCCTCAGATTCACGACGGTTTCTTTTTTTTTTAATGTATTTATTTATTATATATAGTGTTCTGCCTGCATGTATGCTTGTACACCAGAAGAGGGCACCAGATCTCATTACAGATGGTTGTGAGCCACCATGGGAATTGAACTCAGAACATTTGGAAGAACAGCCAGTGCTCTTAACCTTTGACCCATCTCCCCAGCCTTCACAAGGGTTTCTAAATCTTCCTTTTTCACCTTTTTCCTATGCTTAGATGGTCAAGCCTAGGACATCATGCATGCATGCTAGGCAAGTGCTCTCCCACTCAGCTCTATCATAACCTAATATATTCAAAACATTTCCATTTCAGACTGCAGTCAATAGAAACTGTTAATGAGACAATTTAGTTTAGTTTGTGCTAAATCATTGTATTTTGTACTTGCATTACACTTCAGATTCAGACTAGGCACTTTTCAACTGCTCAGTAACCACATGTGGTAGGTGGCCACCAGGCAAGGTAGCGGAGATCTGTCTGGTGCATTATCACATATCTTCTTCAGAAAGCCTTCAACGAAGCATCTAGCTCCCTGCTACTCTACTGAGACCAACTGACATTATCAGGACCACTTGGAGCTTGTAAGAAATTCTGATAGTCAGACTCCAGTCAAGGCCTATTTAAATCAGAATTAGCATTTTGCATGATGTCTATGTGATCAGTTCGCATATAAAACCTTAAGTCTGTTTTCACCTCTTCTTGGACACATCTAGTCCGCACCCAAGAGGCCTATACTACCCGTAAGTGGTTCTAAATTATTACGAAAAAAAATTATCAAATGTTATTGAATATTCTCAGAACCCAGAACTATCATATTTAAAGAACACTGTGAAGTAGGGGCTAATTTTGGCTCCTTATCTTTTGTAGTTGTAATTATTGTTTTGTAAAAAAAAAAGAAATGGAACTTTTCATAAAAGTTAAAATGTTTTATCTTTTTACTTTTATTGTAGCAAAATGTGTTATTTTAGAATAATTTGGAGGAGAGCGTGGTGGCACATGACTTCAATCCCAGCACTGAGGCATAGGCAGGTGAATCTCTGTAAGTTCAAGGCCAGCCTGCTCTACAAATCGACTTCAAGGACTGTAACAGCTGTTACACAGAGAAAACCCATCTTGAAAAAAAATCTAGAATAATTTGGATTTACAGAGAAGTTATAAAGAAACTATGGTGTTCTCTCATCAGCTTCTCAAATTGCTAAGATTTATGTAACTTGGCATGTTAGTCAAAAAGCAGAGTAAAAACAGATTTTTTTCTCACATAATATATCCTGATTGTGGCTTCCCCTCTCTCTACTCCCAGTTCCTCCCAATATCCCCTGCCATCCAGATCTGGCCCCTTTTTGTCTCTCATTAGAAAACAAACAGGCTTCTAAGGGGATACAATATGATGAGATAAAACAAAAACTAACACATAGGAATCGGACAAAATAAACAGAACGAAGGAGACCAAGAGACAGGAGAAGAAAGAGACCTATCCTCCTCTGCACACTCAGGAATCCATAAAAACAATATACTGGAAGCTATAATATATAACAGAGGACATGGTGCAGACATGTGCGGGCCCTGTACATAGCTGCAGATAATTTGCCCTTGTCAGAGCGGGCTTAGCTACTGACGCCCTAACACCAGGATATCCATGCTGCAGTGTAGGGGTGAAAAAGCTCCTCTCTGGAGGAGGGGAGAGTAGAGAGGACCAGGAGGGTGACAGAGAGGGAGGGAGACAACTAGTGCTTCTCTTGCCAGTACTCCTTCCCCATTCCTTCTCTCCATCCTGCCAGGACTGGCCTGCCCTAGACCTTGACCAGCTTGGGAGCCCTAAGCTGTCAACTCCCCTGAGCTCCCAGAAGCTGAGCCATGTGCACGTGCAGAGGTGTGTGTGTGTGTGTGTGTGTGTGTGTGTGTGTGTGTGTGTGTGTGTGTGTGTGTGTTCGCCCATCTCCAGAGAACCATAGAGATACAGGATCAAAGCCCTCTTGTCCACCTGTAGCTCGCCCTCCCTCCCACCCCAATGCTCCATGAACACACGTATCAGTGGGAATGTTAGCCCCTAGTGCACTAGCCAGCTAATTGAATGTAGTTCCCTGGCGCATAGAAACAGGCCCGGCTTCCCCTTTTTCCACCAGTGGTCCCTTTGCCCAGCATGGGCCCTTGGATAAGTGAAGAGGAAGCTGCCTGTCCCTCAGGAAAGTGAGGGTGACCCTTTTCTTCGATGAAGTTGGTTTCAATACCAGCCTCAAATGCCTACAACCCTAGAGAGAAAAGCACTGAGTTTACCCTGTAGTTCCCAGTTTGCTTCTGCCACCTGCTGGAAGGAGATAGGCAGCAGCAAGCAAGCACCAGGGCCTCCAGAGACTCTGAGGGCCTGGAGAATAAAGCCCTCAGTAAGGGCATGGGGACAAGCTTCCAGGCCTCTCTGTACAACAGACAAGTAGAAGGATGCCCCCTGAAGAGCATGGAGCTGTAGGAAGGGGAGGAACTTCCCCTCTCTCTCTGCCTCCTAGAGCCTCCCAAAAGCAGGAGATACAGCTGCAGAGGCATGCTGTCCAGGCTAGAAATGTTTGTCATCCTGTTCTCCTTACCTCATGGAAGCTCAGATATAGAGAGGCTGAACCATAAAAGGCCCAGAAAGATGTTTAGCACACAGAAAGGAGGAATGAGAGTCCTTGGTCAGATTGAATGTGTGCCCAGTATTTCAATTTTACAAAGCAAAGTGGGCTTTAAGTTTCCAAACCCAGTGCTCATCCAACTCCCTGTTTCTGCAGTACATCCCAATATGACTTTGGGCCGCAGGATAAAAGAGCGGGAAGAAAATGGATCAAAAACTGTCTTCTTCATTTTACAGAGTAGAAGCAGCTGCCAATCTGTAGTTGGCCTGAGTGGGAAGCTCCAAACAGAGCAGAAAGGAGCAGACTTTAACACTGTTCAATTCAGAAATGGAAGTAAGAATTTTCCAGAGACAAACGGTCAATTTTGGGGTGCATGGATGGACTTAAAAAGGCCTATGCAGAAGAGACATTGCTGAGGGAGACGGTACACCTAAAGTAGTACGTTGCAAGGAAAAAGGCAAGGTTTGAGGACAATGGCAAGGCAGAAAGGAACCACTTGAACTCTAGGTTGGAATATAATGGAAATTATTTCAAGTTCTTTCTTTCTCTCTCTCTCTTTCTTTTTCTTTTTGTTCTTCGAGACAGGGTTGTATTGCCCTGGAACTTGCTCTGTAGACCAGCAGGCTGGCCTTGAACTCACAGAGCTCCACCTGCATCTGATTCCTGAGTGCTGTGATTAAAGGTGTGTGCTAGCCCGGCTAGAAATGATTTCTTCCAACCTAGAGTTGCTCGGTGTATGTGTGTGTGTGTGTGTGTGTGTGTGTGTGTGTGTGTGTGTGTGTGTCAATTGTTGCTAGAGATTTCTGTGATGATTTCAGTGATTCAACTACGACCCAGTGTCAGACCCTATCATAGCCACCCCCAGTTCATTAGTATCACACGCTAGCATAATCCCAGTTCCATGAACCTGAATAGTTACATTTCAGGGTATTGTTTAGCTATGATACAACTGAGGTCAATGAGAGTTGGTTTTAGGAAAGTTTTGTATATTCTTCTTCTGGGGGGAATGTGCTGGCTATTTTTATGTCAACTGACACAAGCTAAAGTCATTGCAGAGGAGGGTGCATCAATTGAGAAAAATGCCTCTATAAAATCAAACTGTACACAAGCCTGTAGGTTATTTCTTAATTAGTGATTGATGGGAAGGCCCATCCCAATTTGGTTTGGGCTGATGGTCCTGGGTGCTATAAGAAAGCAGACTGAACAAGCTGTAGGGAGCAAGCAACACCCTTCCATGGCCTCTGCATCAGCTTCTGCCTCCAGGTTCCTGCCCTGCTTGAGTTTCTATCCTGACTTCCTTCAATGATGAACGGTGATGATGAGAAGTAAGTCAAACAAACCCTTTCCTCCCCAAGTTGCTTTGGTGATGGTGTTTCATCACAGCAATAGCCCTAGTTTGCACAAGGAGTTTTAGAAGCAACTAACTC